GTGCTCATCAAAATTGATGAGCATCCAATGCAAATCCTATTTTCTCTCCTTTTCTTTATCTGGATATGTTTGTTTTTTAAAATTTTGACATTTTTATAGACAATTTTTTTTTTCATAATTCAAATCTGAATTAAAGAGGGACAAAATTTGCACAACAGATATAAACTTTTTGCCATGCCCCTTCTTTGTAGGCCCAAGCCAGGAGAAACAATATATAAATAATGTGACTCATATTTTTTGGCTACGATTACGAGCATGCATGGATCATTTAATTTCGAGGTGGCTGTTCCAAATTTGACTAGTCGCACAATATGATAAGAGCATATTCTAATTTCATTTATGCAATATTTATCTTTCACACGCAATGTCCTTTTTCAAAAAATTTCTAAGGATAATACTTACATTAAGTTCCTTATATTCGTTATATCAAGTTTTTTAGTTATATATGATCATATGTACTATTTTTGAAATATTAGCAGTTAATAGCATTTAATTGTAAACCCACATTAAAAAAAAAAGTAAAACACATGGACATATATAATTAGAGAACTTGATATAATGGATATAAAAAACTTTACTTGGGCATTTTCCAAGATCTAGCATAATTTTCTAAAATATTCCGAAGTCATTATGTATACACAAAAAAAAAGGATCTTTATGTATTTGAAGGAGATCTTCAAATTAATGATTTGGATGTTTGCTACAAACCCTCAAAATGATTAACTGAATGGCCAAATTTTTGGGATAAAGAGATGTTAGCCACAAATATAATTAGACACGTGCTTATACCCATTTGTCCATTTCCCTCTTAATAATTGAAGCTTCAATAATGCATTTGTTGATTAGGGTATTCATAATTCTATGCTTGTGAAGCTTGTAAAGCTTTTTAAAAAAATATTATCATGCGTTAAGAAAAAATGCAAAATAGGAAAATGGAGTGGTATATATGTAGTGACCAAACCAAAAAAAGGCGGACCACACAACATTTGAAATATCTCATAAAACCAATTTAAGACCGTACACACATACATAGAGAAGGGGGGGACTTGAAGGCTTATGAAATAACTAAATATTTCATACGAAATACTATTTTCGATCCTCAAAACAAAAATTAGTTAACTAATTTATAAAGAATGAGAAAATTAGTTAAGTTAGTTTTTTGTAAAAGAGGAGAATTACCATGAGGTCCCAATAAAAGAATTTAACTATAAAAAAATTCTAATGATAAGTGACTAGTATAAATTTGTTGTGATTCCCTACTTGGAAACTTGTCATTGCATACTCTTCAATTGTCAATGAATTTCAAGGTAATTAAATTTCTTTCTTAGGACTTGATTACAATTCTCCCTCGTAAAAGAAGTGTATCAATTTTTCTAAAGTGCTTCTATAGTGATCTGTATTAGAAACTACCTTTTGATGAATATCCTTTAATATATGCAAGGAGAGTATAAGGGAAAAATTTACTCCTCTGGTCCTAAATATAAGACCTCTTTTATAATGTAATTTAAACTACAAAAAGGATCTTATATCTAAGACTAGAGGGAGTAATGATTTACAAAAGCTAACTATTTGTGAGATCATCTGGATATCTATAGCTAATTTTTTTTTAGTGGCATATAACATGCCATTAAATAACAAAGATGTCAATGATTAAACATCAACATGCATAATAATAGAATGGTGCGTGGTACAATATAAAAGGATGCACATGGAGAAGATCCAAATTTCAAAGTCTAAAAGTGGGCAAAAGGAATCTGTATCATCCTGTTTATGATATCATGTGTCTTTGAATTATTAAAGTTATCCGCAAAGAGCACCAATCATCACTCACATATATCACATATAGTTCAACATTTTGTGACAATTAATATAATACACACACACACACACGCTTTCTCATTCAAAATATAAACATTAAATCTTTTAGACGGTTTTTTTTTCCATAGGATATAATTTGGATTTTTCTACTCATTTAATGTTTTTTTCTTCTTTGTCTAATTAATTATATGTCTCTCTTGTTTTTTTTTCTTGGGAAAAATCTCAAAAAAATGATTGTTGAATTTCAAAATTCTAAATTAGGAATTATTACAAAAATATATTGTCATTTGCTTTTTGAATGTAGTCATTTTTTTTATAAATATAGTAATAAATACTGATTTGAAATTTTAAAATTCAACAGTCACTTTTTTGAGATTTTTTTTTCTGACTTAGTATCTCTCATCTCTCTTCTTATTCATTGTCTACTTTAGGAAAATAAGTTATAGTTTTTTTTATATATTTATTGTCTTTAATTAATTTTAATTAATTTTTTCAGTTGCCTGATTTAGTTATCTGATACTTGTATTTTAAAGCAGCGAGAGCACATCACAAGTGAAAAATATATATTATTCAAATTAGAGTTACAAATAAATACCAATAGCCTAAAATTATAAATAGGATCGAAGTCACATACTTTTATATTTATATGAGAACTTTTATGTTATTAGACTGTCAAACCAATGCTATCTGACTCGATATCTTTAATATTATGCAGAATCAAAAAGGAAAACAGTATATGAGAAGGAAAATGAAACAAGTAAGCAAGCACTTCCAAATCACCACGCATTATTACATCTTGTGGATCCAATTAATTGCCATTATACATCTTTTTTTTGGGGTCTTCATTCTCCACAATACATGTTACTAGAATGCATAAATGTGTTTAATTAGTTTTACATTAGAGAAAGTATTAGAATCATGTTTAGTTTTGGTTTCTAATATGAAACCAAATGGACAACAGTGAGATTCAGTATTTTACCTTAGCCCTGGATATATATATCTATATATATATATCTGCTGATTTTGTAATCTTAAATATCATTCATTCAAAATGATCATATAATCAAAATTGCTCCTTTTTAATGAAACGGCTCGTTATCTTCTTGTTGATGGCCAGACCGCTCTTGTCGTCCGGTTTTATTTTGGCTTGATCTCAACTACACTGTTTAGAAATATTTTATTTGATTTTTAATATGATAGTTAGTTAACTAATTTTGAGAATGAAAGTGTAACAAATTAATATTATCGGTCCTTAATATAAGATTTGGTTAACTAATTTCAAGAAATTAGAAAAATTACTAAATTATTTAATTATGACATATATTACATGATTTTTTTAAAAATATTTATATGTATCATTAGATTATATATCAATTTATAAGTGAGTCAAATTAGTGTAGAGAGAAATGATAAATATAAATAATTTAAAGTAATTTAATAACTTCTTTAATTTTCTCAATTAGTCAATTAGATCTTATATTAAGGATAAAAGGTAGTAGTTAATTATAACAAATGTGACCCTGTGTAAATTAAATTACATTATCTCTGGTCCTTAACATAAGATCTAATTGGGAGTTGAATTTGGTTCTAAATAATAAGATTTCAATTCTCTTTATCTTCCAAATTTATATTTTTTCCCCAAAATATCCTTATTGATTGTAAAAGGTTCCTAACAAGGAGTAGTACTAATACACATGATTAAAAAGGATAATTTAGGTAAATTAATATATATTTATTGCAAATAACTAACTTATTAACTAATTTTTTTTAATATTGACAAGTTAGTTATCTAACTCTTATATTAAAGTGAGGTAGTAGTATATTATTTTATAGGTTAGGTTTTGAGGGGAAAAAATGAAAAATGTGGAAGACGAGCACGCTTTGTAACCAACGGGGGTAGGGTCTAGTAGAAGAAGCTAGTCCTCACAACGTGGTGAACCAAGGTTCGAATCCCCACTGAGAGAGATACCCACATTTAGTACTCGATAATGTCTCGAATAGAATTGTCTCTAATAAAAAAATACTTATGTTTTAGAAAAAAATAATTGGCGACTTTAGGTGGGAAGAAGATGAGAGTGTAAGGATTGAAATGGGAAGGTGGTTTTCAGAATAAGCAGCACTTTGCAAAATGAATGCTTTTGTTTTGGGGAGCATGTGCTTTGTCAATTCCTCCACCATTGTTGTGAAGGGATAAGCAAACCCCCAAAAAAAACAACACAAAAGGAAATTAATGACAATTATTATTTAATATCTTATCTTTTCAATTTCAATAAAGAGAGTTCTGCGCTCAGTTTAGAGGGTATTTGGATGGAAACCAAATTATGATTTCAAAAGTGTTTTTACGGTTTATGAAATAAATATGTGAAGGGGTTTGTCTTATTTTTCAAAAAAGTGCTTTTGAGAAGCATTTTTTAATGTTGCCAAACACCCCCTTATACATCCATGCTTGTGGCTCTTCTGTCTCCAAGTCCTTATCAGTAACACAAGCGGACGGGTCTTTCATTATTTTTAGACGCAATTTTAGATGAATTAACTTCAAATAATTTTTCCTTTGATTCCAAGTTTAGAGCTCATTTTTGTCTTAATTATATAAGATGCTGATCTATTTTGTTTTTAATTAATTTTATTAGTCTATACAAATTGATTATTCAGCTACCAGAGCCAGTAGCATTTTTTTCCTCATTTAACAATCGAAAATTTCTCCAATAACAAAATTGATGAGTTTGAATTTGTATGCTTTATTAGTAGCTTTTTGTAATTGCCATATATAGAAGAATTAAAAGTGCATTTTTTTTTTTGTAGAAACAATCATGAACGGCGACAAGATGCCATACTTGTTTTCTTCGCTACAGTATTTAGTGCAGATACTGTCACAAAATATTTTGCGATGACTTTTATAATTATAAGGCTGTTGAGTATGATCATTGATTCGGATTTTGACCTTTGGGCTTTCTTGGCCATCAATCACAAACCCACTGAAAATACGTGGGGTTTAACTTGTTCAAAATCAGAACACGACATTCATTTCTATGTTCAGTCATTTTTTATTCTATTTGTTATTTCCTTCCATTAAGTTTATTAATTAAAAAAAGCATAATGTGATCTCACCTGATATTAAATAAAATTTTGTCCTCACAGCTGAATCAAGTATCAAATCGTTTAAAGAATTTTCTAAATATCATTTTTATTGAAATCCTGATAGAAAATAAAGCATCGAATCCAAATCAAAATCTCTAGAATGAAAATTGTTCATAAAGTAGCAAACATTTTAGAACATGCATTCTTATTCAAAATTCCAATAACATCACCATGAGAACCCGCAAGCAGAAGAGCAATAAATTTTTATTGAAACTGATTTGATTCAAAGTCAATGAAGAAGATCAAGCAGCGAATGCAGAAGCAGAGTTCCTTCTGCATTCTGCAAGCATGTCCATGTAAAACTGGCACTTGCTAACGTCACTCCCGTTGCTGTTCAGGCACTGCAAGCACATGAATAAGGCAACTAAAGTTATATATCTGTAACATTCTATCATCACCAAACTTGAAAGAGACAAATCTTCACAAACTGTTGAGCATGAATATATAATGCAAGAGTAGGAGGAACCATAAATACACTACGTTTCGTAAGTCAGAGTGCCAAATATTATCCATCTTCATAATCATAGGTGCCAAGTCCAAAACCAAGCCAAAAAAACAAAAGAAGTTGAAATTGATTTGGGACGTGCCATACGTGATTTCAACCAAAATTTGGTTTGGCTCAATCAAAACCACCAAAACAAACCAAATCAACGATGGGATTTTTTCTCCTTGGCAGATTGAAGATAAAGTAAGCCAACAGCAAAATGATTTTATCAATTTTTTAGATAACTTTCTTCTTGAGATTGATAGCTCCAAATGCCCTAATACAATAGCATCACTGTTTGACTAAACAACTTAGATGACTAGGATTTTAAAAAAATAATAATAAATAAAAATATGAGGAAAAAGGAACCAAACCAAGCTAAACCCAAAATGGAATAGATCTTTCATTTTACAACTTGATTTGATCAGTTCAGTTAGTCCAAAATAGAACTGAGCCAAACCAATGAAAATACCTAATGCTCGGTATGTGAATTCTACCAAGGCTAAAAAAATGTCTCTAATCAGCCACATTAGCTTGTGTCCCTCAGGAAATATCCTATAACCAAATCAAAAATAAAAAACCACATCAAAGTTGAACAGGAACAGGACACGGGCAAATAACTATCTAATGATTCATTCAATGCTCATCAACCATTGATATAGACCTCTCACCATTACATTACTTGACAGAAGAACTCTGCGAAAATACCATATCATCACACAGTTGAAGTGAATTCAATACCCTCTTCTCACTCATCTATATAATTGGCAAAATCATCGAACTTTCCTAGCAATCTATCAGTTATGATAACTAAATAGCACCAATAGAAGAAAAGTAAGTTTCCCACTCCCATACACCAGTTTATATTCCTGATGTGAGGCCTACAGGATTGTAATTGATATTATATTGCATTTAAAACCAGGAGGCAGCTATATGTGTCCATGCCGATTGTGTAACTGCAGTGAAATGCTACTTCACAGATCATGTACCCAAAAAGAGGAAGATATAAAAGAAGGATAGGCTAGAACCAGATAAAAACTACATACATCCTGAAAAGATTTTGAGTGAACATTGCAAGCATCACCACCGAGACTATTTTCAGTTGGTGCGGGAGCCGCAGCAGCAACAGGCTGAGAGCCCACTGTTTCATGTCGAACGGCACGAGGCCCCATTACAGCACCAACAGCCCGGTGTGCCACTTCAGCTCCAGTTCCAAAAGCCAAGCCTATAAAATTAAAATAAGAAAGAAGACATGCATATTTAGTGTCTGATACTCTCGTAGCAAATAAAATGATCATCCTCCTTTACATACCATCAAATACGGTACCAAGGAATGATCTATCATCGCCAGTTTGAACAGGAGCTGGAGGAGGAGGATGATAAACTGCATGAAGGCACCGACAGATTGTTCAGTCAGAGAAATAAAATGTAAACAACAATCTTTGGTAGGAAAAGTAAGATTCGTATCAGAAATAAAGTTTAAAAACCAATCACGTAGGATTAAGACAACTTATCGAAAAGTTAGATTAACGCAAACTTGGCGACTTCTTTTATCATATTCATACGTACCTGGCTGAGGGGGTTTACGAGCTCGTGGTGGAGCTGAACGACCTGCTCTTCCTGCAGAAATAAAACTATACTATTATTTCGCTGTCATCGAAAAAGAGGAAACCATAAAGGCTTCCCCATCATCAGGGAAACACGAAAGTAGCCTAAATTTAACAGAAACAGAGGCAGAATCCGCTGGCATTATAGATTCAAACTATTCATCCATAAGCATAAACTCCTCAAAATATTCTCCATAACAAACGAATTAAAATAGAAACATGGGCGGATTTCTTTATTTATACTTTAAAACCAAGATATAATCGAAAAAAAGCGTGACAACCCAATCTCATTAGTCCAAAAGCAAGAAATTGTCAATTAAAAACGGGAATTCACGCATAAATGCTAAATCTTGGCGAGGTCGAGAGAGCTCACCACCAGAACCACCGCGAGGCATGTTTGGAGAATGTAGGAAACGCGGGCTTGAGCTAGAGCTGAAGAATACGCCTCCGTGAAAATTTCAATTGTTAAATCTTCTGATCTGAAATTTATATCTAAAATTAAAGATGATTACAAGGCAGTTAGTTGGAGATCAATGGGGGCGTCATGATATTTCCGCAATCCCCGTTTGCTTGCTCGGCAAGTCAAGTTCGTCAATGGGCCTACGTGGGCTCAGCCCATGAAACATTGGGCCCAGTTGCCCAATGACTAATTTTAGCCCAGATTTTTAAATCTAAGTCGAGTTAAGCCTTTTGACGCAACTGTTTTTTGGCAAGGAGAAAAAAAGGATTTGTAATAATGGTTTTCATATTGATTCAGATTCTTGTTTAATATGGTTTAAATAAAATGCGCCTCGGTGAACACTATTAATTTTTTATATTAAAAATAAAATTATTCATATGCCCTCATAATCTAATACTACCTCGTGTCTTTAATATAAAAGCTAGTTTAACATTTAATTTGGTCCTAAATATAAAATCTCAATTCACTTTGTCTTTTCTATTTATTTATTTATTTTTTCAAGATGGTCTATGTAATAATTGTTTATGTTAAATGTTTTATCAAATAATATTTTTAGCTAATATATATGATTAGTAATGACATTCTAGGAAAGACAAAGTATTTATTATTAGCTCTTATATTAAAAACTGGAAAGAGTATGTATTTTTTCTCCCCCATCTCCGATTTTAGATAGGTAATTAAATTAATGTTTATATTTGATGTTCTTAAGATATTAAATTAAAATTTAATAAAATTTATAATAAAACAAAAAATACTCCAAACGGAAATTCGAAAAAAATATATTCCAAATAAATTTAAGAGTCAGTAAGTTAATAATGAAATAAAAAATAAAATCTTAAAACATATAAGTTTATCGAATAAAAAAAATGGAAGAATCCCAATTAAATATTGTTGAAATATCAAAATCTTAATTAAAGCATGTTCTTTTAACAAATTCTTAATTAGGTCAAGAAGCCTTATTAGAGATTTTTAAATGTTGTTAAAAAACTAAAATGTCCCATTAAGTAAGTAAATTGGCAATTATTCCAATTAAGTTGTGACCTAGCTTCTTTTTTTTTTCTTTTTGAAATGCCGCCAGATGATCTATCGGTTTCATGTGTTCTTGCTCCATATGTTGTTAAAAGACTAAAATGTTTGACTTTTTGGCTTAAATTTATAATAAGCAGTTCATACTACTTCATCCATCCTATTAAATGTTGAAAAAAATTATTTAGATTTCTAATATAAGTTCATATTAATTATTAGTATGAATTTTATTAATGAGATTATAAGATATACCATGATGAGAACATCTATATGGCAGATATAGTAAAGCGCTTAAGAAAGAAATCACAAATTTGATGCTAAAATGTACTAATACATTAAGATTATGAATTTTTTAACTATAAAGAAAAAGTTTTCCTTCAAAAAACTATTAATTTAATGGTGTTGAAATCAAGTAATTAAAAAGTTCCTATGCCCATTACTGGGAAAAAAAGTCCATATTCCCATAAATTTTTTATTAATATGTTAGAGTTAGCATAAAATGTTATATTAGATATTGTCAATTTTTTGATCTTAATATTTTCAAATTTTCTTGTGTAAAACATTTTTTATAAATAAACACTATATAATGTGAAGTTTTCATGATTTAATTTTTTGTTTTCAAAATAATATTATTTTAAACTATAAAAGGATATTTTAGTCTTTAAAAACATTAAAAAATTTCTAATAATATCTCTTGGCCTAATTATAAATTTGTTAAAAATGTAGGTTTTAAATTGAATTTTGATATTTCAAGCGGATTTAATTAAAATTTTTTCTAAAAAAATTGATAACTAAAATAAAATACAAGAAAAATCAAAGTATTTTACTCAATAACGTGACCAATTTGGAACTAATATTTGTGTAATAAACAATTCGAATGTCCTTTTCCTTTCCTTTGGCAGTCGATCGAGAAAACGTGTTCTACTCAATAGCGTGACCCCCTTGGAAGTAATTTTTGGGCGAGTGTGCAACAAACAATTCAAATGTCCTTTTCCTTTCCTTTGGTAGTCGATCGAGAAAACGTGTTTTAACTGTGACACAGACACGTATGCCAACGGCTTTTAGTTATACTATGTTCCCTAATGACTAATCTCGCACGTTTCCCTCTATCAACGACCATTAAGTGGAAAATAAAAGTTTATTATAATCACACAAGTGATTAACTTGAGACATCCATTCACAACATGATATTTTCATTGAAAACCCTCGTGGAAAATAGCCCAAACATACCATCATTCCTAATAATATCTCATTCAAATGTATGTTGTTGCAGCCAATAAAATGTTGAACTGCATCTTATACGAGGCAATGTGTTTGGCAACCTAACAGCCAGCCTGGAAAACTGATATGAACAATATTTGGCAACAGTGCATTACATTGAAAGCTGATAATTAAAAGAAAAAATTGAAAGACCAACTCAACTCCTGCAACTCTTTCACTGGAGCGTTGTGAAATAATAATGCCAATCCTATGTGTAGGGAACAAGAACTTAAGTAGGAGAAAGCACTGGCCAACATTCAAGACCATTCTATGTAATTTGAGGAATAACAAAAAAGAACAGTGATTTCCCTGCAGACTATTTCCAGGAGCCTGAATTCCAACTCCTGGAGGTTTGCATATTGTAATAAAATGAATAAAATGCCTTGAATTAATCTAATTGGACAGACAGTCACATTCATTCGGTTAGCTTAATCTTCGACCGTGGGATAGAAACCTGACATGTAATGCCTTCCACTTCCATTGGAATCTGAATGGGCATGTGACGGTGATTGGAATTCCCCAGAATGTGAAGATTTTCTAGTCTTTGGGTTCTTTGGAGAAGCTCCGTAGTAGTCCCCAGAACTGCTTGTAGAATACAGAGATGAAGTTGGCAACCCATGAATTTTAGGCAGGCCAGTTGATTCGGGCAGGCTATATCCCCTTTCAACGGTTTCAGCTTCTAGTGGCAGCTCATCCAAGTCCTACCATGAAAACACACTCATCAGATTTTAGTCCAAACACATTTTAGTTCGACCGCTGTTAAGTGAAAAAGCTAAAAAGCTCGACATAAAATTAAAGAAATCTTAGATCCATGTTATTATTGAAGATGATGGGGCATGTTGCAACCCTTGCGAGTGGTGGCCATAGCTTCATAGAAAATCAAGGCCTGAGACCCCTTCGGTAGGATTCCTTTTCATATCCTTTTTGCAACATCTTCGGTAGGATTCCTTCCCCCCCCCCCCCCCTCCCCTTATTATCCCCTTTTCTCAAGTAAAGACATCCATCCTCAGAATCACTCATTTCATTCTTTTCCACTCTCTATCTATTGGGTCCAGAGCATTTCATGGCCAACGGGTGAGCAGACAATTTACATACCAAAGATAATGAATAATTTAGGGCCAATTCAAGCCCCCAACTTCAAGCAAAATTTAATATCAAATAATACTGCCAACTAATGCATTAGGATCACCCACCCGGAATGCCTGTTGATAAGCTCGGAGCAATTCTCGACAGCGCTTTCTTTTCATTGCTACCTCATCAGGTTCTTGCAGCATCTCTTCAAACAGGTTTTCTCTGCTTTGAATTTAACATAAAAGCATGCTTAGCATGCAACTAAGGATGATTTCACATAATCACAAGTGCAGAATTTATATAGCAGGTCATAACTACTATATGTCACCTGTAAAGCTTTTTGATGAAAACATTGTGCAGCTCTCTCTTTGTGTTGTTTACCTGGATAAAATTTAACAAGTCGTCAGAATTTATTGCGTGCGTCAAAATTCAGATGTGTTTAGTCACTCCAAAAGAAATAGAGAAAAATGATCAAATATCATGAATGCTACCGAAAGAGTTATATAGCCCCAGAAAGGTGACCAGCCCACCCAACTAAAGAACTAAATTCAAAAAAGAAAAACTGCAACTACTAATAGTTCTTCAGCGTGTGTGTGTGTGAGAGAGAGAGAGAGAGTGTGTCTAGCAACTACAAGCATTAGGCAAAAGGAACACCCACCGGATCTTAATAGGATTAACTAAAGAGAGTCCAAATAGGGTATGATTGAAGGAAGAGAAATTGCAAGCAATGTAACTTATATCAGAGAGAAAATCATCTAGAAGCCACGAGGTGAGAGTGCATGCTCCAGATCTAGTAAATAATGTTACTTAGATTCCAACAGAAAGAATAAAAAAGAACACACTTTGTCATACCCTACGACACGGTTTTGCGATTCAAATTAGCCAGCACACTTGATTTTACATTTGCTGTTGCAATATCCAATTAATAAGAATCAAATTTTACAACTTAGAAGAAGGATGTGCGGTACCAAGAAGTGCATAATTGCTTTGGGGACAAAATCTTCAACATTTTTTCTGACAATGTCATAGTATGATCTTAAAAGCAACTTTGTCACTGCAATTTCAACGGCTTCTGTCTCCGAATGGCTCTCAGATGGCTTCAGGACAGCAGGTGGCTACCAAAAACGAGGCATCTAAATCATATAACCAATAAATATATTGTTCAGCTGATAATAAATGTGTCACCAACATACCTCTCTCAGATGGATCATAGAGAACGATTGTTCCATGCTATGAGTGTTAACTGGTTCATTGTGCGGTTTACTCAATGCAATCTCCTTTATAGGCACACGGCTATCACTTCCACCAAAAATAGATGAGATCCCCCAAGTTGCTGCACCGGTGTTTCCTGAAAAGATATCAAGTTTTCAAGAATTTAAACATTTCAACTCAGACTAGTAATGATGCTTGTTGATACATCCAAAACATGCATGATTAAAGATAGGACAGAAAATAAACATACATATAAACAAATAAAAAGTACAGAAGCAAATGCATAAAACAACATGAATATTAAATAGAAGAAACAAATTACCAGAGGTTGCAACTTTGTCAAGCTCTGATGCAGCACGACCACCCTGTTTGTTATGTTTATATTAATCAAACAGGTTGATGCGATAACATTACGATAATAACATTGAAATGATCTTTGA